CTGGCCCTCCCAAACAACTCACATCTTTGTCATTGAAACTTAGTGCTCCGACTTCTCTTCCTTTACGGTGCCCATCAACATTAAGATCCAAAATTCTGAGATTAAAGTCAGAATTTTTAGATTAAAGTCAAAATTCTGAGATTAAATTCAGAATTCTGAGAAAAAAGTCAGAACTCTGATATTAAAGTCGGGATTCTGACTTTGTCCCCATGTTAAACTGAAATATTATTTAAAAATCAGTTAACTTTTTTTTTTTTTTTTCTCCAGTGGCCCTTCACCTTTATGATGTGTACTTACACATCATAAAGGTTGACCCTTTTAATTTGGCCTACAACAAATTTCTGGGTTCTACTGCTAAAGGTTTTATTCCACAATGCAGGGGAGTATCATACACTCCCACACACACTTTTTCAATCCACAGCTAAGTGGTAGGTCAGTCCAGAGCAGGCACAGTTGAAACATTGTTGGACTGACAGACGCCCAAAAAGATCAAAGTTATTATGGAGGTGGAGGTGAGGTGTAACTTCAAACCTTTTCTAATTGCGAGGAGTTCATTTCCGAGAGGGATGGATGTCTGTAATGGGGGGTGTTTAAACTGTGTAGCCATCAGGTAAAGTAAAGAGGGCACAGGTACTCATTAGACCTCAGTGAAACTTAATCACACACGGAAACCTGGTTCACGGATCAAACCACACCCAAACTCTGAGCACAGATTGTATTTGGTGATTGAGGTGTCCCTTGTTGGAGATGGGTGAACATATGAGAACTCTGAACTGACACATACAATACTAAAACAGTTGTTTCTACCAGTGACTAGAGACTGAACGTTTTGCTCATTCTTCTTTCCAAATCTTTCAGACATGATCAGATGGGATGGGGAGTTTCCAAAAATCAGTTTTCAGACCATGCCACGGATTTTCTGTCCGATTTAGACATAGACTTTGACTATGGCATTCCAACACATGCTACATGCTTTAATTTCAATATTTCAATTTTAGCTCTGGCTGCATGTTTTAGGTTGCTGTCTTTGTGGAGTGCATTAATTAAATCTGTGGTATGCTATGGTGATAAAGATACTCCTAAAAAATCCAGCTAATACCATCTGAATGCCCCTGTTTAATCATTAGGTTATTCATTATGTTATTCCTGTTTGTTATTTGATCCTAGCATGAATACAGCTTTTCTGGGAGGGCCATGAAGATTAAGATATGAGAAATATTAGTGATAAAATGGCAACCTGAAGGCCAAAACACAGCAGACCAATTAGATAGGAATTTTTGAAGAAGCTTAAAGCAGGGTTAGGTTATAAAAAATACCCAGGTATGCTCTAAACATCTCACAGATCATTGTTCAATGCATCATTAAAACACTGAAAGTATGACACAGCTCAACACATACAGAGACTTGCTTATAGTGAAGTCGAAGAAGTAGCCAAGAGGCCCTCGGTACAAAAGAGGAGCTGCAGCGATTTGAAGCCCTATTAATAGGGATTTCTAAAAAAGGACAGATGGTTATCATTTGGCTCCTTTAAAAAGACGCTGGGGATGTCATACTTTTTGGCTTATTATTAATAATCATTAACACTGCTTAGAAGAATGGGTTTTAAAAGTATGCACACCCAAGAATTATGACAAGGTTTCTTTGAGACATATTTATTTCTAAAACTGGCTATGCTAAAGTCCACACCGAACTCCATTTGAGAATCTGGAACAACTGTTCAAAATCTACGTCCATAGAAGCTCTACATTCATTTGAATCTGCTTAAGTTATTTTTTAAAGAGTAATAAGCAAACAGTTTGCTAGATGTGTAAAGAGACAAACATGTAAAATATGTCAAACTGCAACTGCATCTAAAGCTATTTTTATAAAATATTGATCCTTGAGTGGATTGAATAAACATGCAAGCCATACTTTTAAGATTTGCCTTCCACTTTACCATTATGCTTTCCAGTAAATCACATCAAATTCATGCAAAACACAAAAATATGTGATGTTGTAATGTAATAAACAAGGAAAAACAACTATTGAACATGTTGAAAAGACTGTGTACTTACAAAATAAACACTGGGTATGTGAACAAACTGCTTATGGACAAGCCTCACATGCTTTTTTGAAACTATTAGAAAGGATTTAGCCCAAGGAAATCACAAACAAAAGAAAGTCTCATTTTGGCTGGTGAACATAAAGCAAAGGGAAGTGAGAATTTATTTCTGATGTTGGCCCTGTTTATCCACACTGCGACCAAATCAATGCTGTCTCATGAGTAATGTCTGTCATCCCAAGAGGCTACGTGATTAAGGGCAGGCGGTGGCATTTTTCAACTGTTGCACTGGACACCACCCAAAGATTTTGACCTGAAAGAGCCTCGGCTCATAGGAAACCAAATTTTAAGATAACAAATCAGACATCACAGCTTTACACGTCCACATACCAGTAAGAATACCAAGAGGTAAGTTGCCTTTGTTGAGGTTTTTCTTTGATGCAAAAAAAAGAAAAAAACACAGCAAATCCCACTCATAAAACAGAATATTGCTCACATTCGATTGACTCATTTTAGAATATGTTTTTGGCACCAAATTCGTATTTGTAAGAGAAATGAACACAAAAAAGGTAGAACAATGTAAACAGACAATTAGGAATGGAAAAAGGACAACATTTTAGTGCAGGATATTGTTTTTCTTATACAATTACAATATTAGGTTGCACGTTTCTATTCTACCTTCTTTTTCCCAAATAGGGAAAAGTGTGAAGATACTGTACATGTACATCAACTCATTACTATAACAAAATGTTTCTGTATGATTTTATTATTGGTTTTCTTCCAGTGTCGAAACCTCTCAGGCTAATGTAAACATGCCAAAAAGCAGAACATGTGATGTCCAATTACACTAGGTGTTGACCTAGAGTTCATGATGCTGGAATCAGATTGCACAGAATAATCTAGCTAACCCTGTTATTAGAAATATACACAAATACTGTTGTTTCATGCACCAAGATCTTAGATGACTGGATATCTTAAGAAACCTGGTTAAGTGTTGCATATTTAAAAATTCTTTGTAGAAACAGGAGAGTGTGACAAGGCAAGCATTTCTTCCATAAATTTCAGATTATTCAGTGCTGGTAGAGGTTGCAGTGATTGAGGTACTGATTACGCTAGGATCTGCTGACATTAGATGCTCAATATTTTAGTGACTGTTCATCGCAGCTTTACTCTTTTTCTGTGAAAGCATTCATTAAATGAAAATATGGATTTATTTCAAAGTTTTTATACAGAAAGGCTGCATAATACTAACCATGTGCGCTGAAATGCAGGGCCAAAATATAAGAAATACATTTGGGTTCCATCAGCCAGGAAGCTAAAACACTCTACTTCATGTTAAAGCTGTTAAACTTGTTACTTGTTTGAGCTGTCCACCATGGTATTTTTTCTTTTTTCTTTTTTTTTTTTGCAAAAGTCCTTTTTTAACATTTTATCTTTCATTCTCGTTATTAAAAAGATTCCCTGTAAAAAAAAAAAAAAAAAAAAAAGAAAATAATGCTAAAATGGGAAGTGAACCCTTTCTTGTGCAACTAACTACCTTTAGAACTCAGTTGCTAATTAGATAGTTGCTACCTTTATGTCATTTATTCTAAACTCTTCTCTGTTTAAAGGTTTTTTAGAGAAGCTAAGTGAACATTTAGGATCATGAAGATCAAGAGACACATCAAGCAAGTTAGGGTACAAACTTAAGGAGAATGTTGATGCAGAGATGGGTCATAAAAGTCCAAATATTCTTATTTTCCAATATCTGAAAACCATATTGGTATATCAAAGCTGAAAACCTAGGATCCTCCATCCAAACTGACCCAACCATAAAGGAAGGCGGCCAAAACTCCTTGTATCTTTTGAGAATGAACTCGATCCACAGCTAAGGGATAGAGAATCTTTCCATAGGATTACTAGCAGACATGCTACTGAAATAAAAAAAAACTAAAATTCCTGTACTCATATAGCGTAATTTCACGTCAGAGAGCTTCAAAGCTCCTTACACTAGATTCAGTCACTGACGCATTTACCCACTCATTCACAAATGTATCATTTGCAGTTTACCAAAAACTTGCTTTGTCAGTTGGGAACACAGCAGGTCCATGGAAATCAGTGTT